ACCCACATGCAGGAACTGACCCATGGGCCACATGCAGCCGAGACGCAACCTCCCAGTGGCCCAGTCTACGGTCATACCAGAAACACAGAGGAAATCAGAAGCTTCCACAGAACAGAGCGGACCATGAATGAAATGCTCTTCGTGGGCTAGCAACACACAAACCACCACCAACTCTAAACCAAAGTGTTTATTTTTTATCATTTTTTTCTGGATTTGTGAACCTGGTCCAACAGGATTAAGCCCTGCTGTCCTGGTTTTTTTGTAGTTGGACAGTTGATGTAGTTTTACCTTGATGTACATTGACAGCAAACCCTCAGAAGAGTCACCAGATTTCAAGCTGTTCTCACGAAGGCCTGGTCGTGCTCTCCAGCTGTCTCCCAGCTCCTCCAGACCAGTGGTCCGGGTGTGTGACAACGTCTTGGCCCCTCATCCTGGTTCCTCATCATTTGTACTGATAATTACATTCATAATCATAGGGACAGCTGAGAGAAAAGAAGATCAGCATCAAATGAAGTCCAGGTAAAACTACACCGCCGTGACTGACTAAAATGAACCTTTTTACTGTACTTTATACCTCATTGACACATACTGACCCCGTGGAACCAAGTTTTGTACTTTAGTGTGTGTGAAAATGAAACTTAATTTACAAAACTTACTACTATCAAGAAAAAAAATCTTGCAGTTTGTGATCTCGGTGGTAAAGGGTGATTTCTCAATTATGCAAATACTGTAATGGTTGATTGACAGCTGTTGTTATTGGTTCTAATCCTACAAACCTCCTGATAAGGATAGACTTACAGTCGGCTCATCCCCAGGAAAATAAAGTGAAGATCCGGACTTGCTTCTCCACCTCTGTGATGGACAGAGTCACAAACACACTCTCCAGGACCGGTCAGCAGACACACACACACACACACACACACACACACACACACACAGACCAAGAACGAACACATCATAAAGTGACACAGATTACGATTGGATCTTCTTTATTTGTTATTTTAAAGTTACAAAAGTTATTCATAAAACCAGTAAACACTGATACTGACATGTGCTGTGAACCTGCCGTGGGGATAGAGAAAAAACAAAAAAACAAAACAAAACTTCAGACCCTGAGTTAAAGTGTTCAGAAACACAGGTCAGGACAAACCTGAAGCTCCACTGCTGCTCTGAGGTCTTCACAGCCGAGGTTTGATCTGTAGCCGTTTCTCTGTCGAACAAACACAGAGGAGTGAAAAGAGGAGTGAAGAATACAGCTATACCACAGTGTGTGTGTGTGTGTGTGTGCGTTGAATCCTACTGAAGCGCTGAGTGATGAGATCTCAGGTGATGAGTAAATGAGAAAGAGAGGAGAACAACAGGGATGGATGAAGGTGTGTGTGTGTGTGTGCAAGGCAGTGATACATTGCATTACAGCTAATTTATGCAAAGTGAAGAGGAGCTTGTTTGGCCGAGTTCCACATTTAATGAGGCTCTGGGTGGTGCTGTGTGTTAGTCAGGGAGCACAGTGTCATTAGTAATACTTAGCAGCACAAACCAAATGGACAGAAGGGGTGGAGGAAACCGATCACTGGGTGAGTCGTCTGTGTGTGCGCCAGCGAGTGTGTTTCCGACAGGCTGTATCGTAAAGCACCGTGACATAGTAACGGCGGCGGAAACGTCACGTGACACAAATCATGCTCTGAAGCCAACATGTCCATCTTAACCCCATCCATAAATATCACACCAGTCACTGCACACAGGTGTTGTGCAGCAGTTCAGGCAGTGGAGGCTTTTGTTTTAGTGTAAAAGAGTGTGACACGTTTACATTTTACAAATCTAATCATCAGGACTTTTTGCAGATTTATTTCAGTCAATTACTTCCGATATTTTTCAACTTATCTTTTGTCATAAAACTTATGCAAATGTAAAATGCCTATAGTACGGTACATGTACTGTGTGTCTAAATGCACAGATACCAAACACACAAGAGCTCCAACTACATCAATATTATTACTAATGTGGGCCATAGAGTTTGTGTGTGTGTGTGTGTGTGTGTGTGTGTGGAGGGGGTTGTAGAGCTGAGGGGTGAAGTGGTCTTAGGTCAGGTCAACATCCCTGCTTGTTTCCAGGCAGTCCAGACTAAATGTGAAGCAAGAGGCATGCAGAATAGGTTCATCAAAATACAGGAGTTCATCAAAACATGTTTTACTTTTCACTAATATATATATATTAAACTAAGTGGAGGAGTCTTTAATATAGGGTGCATAGAGGTACATCTAAACTGCTGCATATATCGGTACCAGTTGATATCAGAATCGGAAATTAAGTGTTTGGACCATATCGGCAAATCGGACATCAGCAAAAAGGTAAGATCGCAAATCCCTACTCCTGAACTTAAGAAGTACAGTGCAGTAATGCAGCGCAAAAGATCGCAAACCCGATGTTAGAACCAAAGAAACTGCAAGGCCGTTAAAGAGTGACAGGAACAGCTCGCAGCAGGTGAGTGAATAATTAAAGTTTTAAAATCCTATCAGACGATTAAAGAAATTCAACCATTAATTTGATTTGTAAGGATTTGAAGAGAAAATACATTTAGATTAAAGTAAAATATTGTTACTTAACTACATAATATGATGCTAAGACTCCGAGTGTTCTGGCTGTTGTTTAAGAAAAACAAATCTAAAGTTTGTCTACCCCATCTTTCATTCATAAAATCAAATAATAATCAGAAAAAAAAAACAGATTTGAATAAATATTATCATTCAAACATGTAAATAAAGCAGTTAGATAATGGGGTCCACGCAAAGACAGGTTAAAAACAGGTGTTAGGTGCTGTGCAGCGTGTGTGTTGCAGCATGTGTCCATGTGTGTGTGCAGCATGGGCAGGTGGATGGTCAGGCCTGTTGGGTGGGTGAGAATGAGAAGGAGTGAGGGGAGGAGGAGGGGCAGAAAGGGAAAGGATCGGGGGAGGCACAGGCTCTCCCCTAATCCTCTATCTGTCAAGTCTGTCAACAGAGAGCTCAGCTGTGCCTCTCTCTCTCTCTCCAGCCCAAAACCTAAATATTATTACCTCTGTCCTCTAAGCATTATTGCTCCTCCCTGGAGCATCATCATGCTCAGTCTACAGCCCAGCTCCGATTCATCAGTATCTGTCCACTCCTCACAACAGCCCCCCCCATTTCATACCCGCCCCACTAGGAGCTGACAAATGAGCTTACAAAAAAACCCCCCAAAAAAACCAGGAGCCTTCCAGAAACCATCTTTGGACAAAATGCCCAATGGAACAATTTGAATCAAGTAAAGCAGGTGTACAGAATGTGTGTGAGTCAGAGGACCAGACTGAACAGTTCTGTTCTCACACTGCTGTAGACCTGAGAGCAGAGAACTGATAGTTGTGTTATCAGCAAATTAAAGCAAAATTTAATCCTAAAAAATCCAGTAAAAAAGATGTAATCTGATTATCAAATCATCATTAATGTGAAAGCTGAGGAGGTAAGTTTGGTCTGGTTTAATCAAACCACAGTTGTCAGACTATGTATTTACTCCAGGTGCCCAGTGACTTCAGTATTCCCATTATAGAATAAAAACACCCCTCTGCCCCACCCATCCCAAAAAATGTTGTTTTTTGGGTGGTGGTCGGGTACAGCAGTGTGTATTTAAAAATTTTGTATAGAACCTCTGTGGTTCCCAAATTGGGGGTTAGCACCTTCTAGCGGATGAAACACAAGTCAACAGTGTAATATAATCTAAATGAAGTTAGTGAATAAACATTATTACAATAGTTAGTACCGGGCTGGTTCAACACTGTGTTACCTTTGACCTGTGAGGTTTCAGCTGGTGGTGTGTCCGGTGTATCCGGGTCCTCCGGGGAGCTACAGAGGGAGATAAAAGACGGCAGTGATAGTGGACCAGGTGTGGACGTCTCTGGGAATGTCTGTAGACTGTAAAGACAAAGAGAAGAAGTTAAATAGATCATTGTCTTTTTATTTTATTCAACGTAAACAATGATTTCATTTAATATTTACAATCAAAACAAAGTCAGTCTCCAACCTCTCAGTGGACTCCTTGGCCCGAACTTTCTTCACTGGTGGACCGGAAGTGTTACTGGTGCTTCTCTTCTGCCGGTGTTTCAGTTTACACCGACTTCCTTTAGGGCAGGAACCAGTCTTGGAAAACTCTGGACACACCAGAGTGTGTTTCTTCTTACACTGGTAGTTGAAGACACAAGATCACATGGTTCATAGTCTGTATGGTCCAATCAACAAGCAACAATGGAACCTACTGTAAAACCCTGTCATGGAGGCAGTCACATTCATAGGTAGGTTTTCTAGACTTGACAATTACACACAACAATCTGTCAAAGCCATCAACACACTTTGGTGATGTTACCAGGAACATCTCACGTCCAGGAACCTTTATGACAGGAACTAATCTGATGAACAGAAACCCAAGTGATGAACTGTCTTAAAATGTCCCCTCCCCCACCAATATGCTAATTTGCAGCTATTAAACAAACTGGTCAAATTGGTCAATACATCTGACACCAAACAGTTTGAAGAGCTCAGCTTAGAGCTAAACATTTATATTACAGAGTTAGGAAGAAGCTGCTTTTAATGACTATTAATGCCTCTGTGGCTGCGTAAGAGAACCATGCTGCTCAATCTGACACAAATGACCAAAAGTACTAAAAAAGGGACAGTAAAGCAAGACAGGAACCAGGAAAAATTAACCACTGCATGTCCTACCAGGTGACGACATTTATTTTAAATTTAACACTTCCTGTTTAGAAGAAGGGTCAAAGGACCTCACCGCCCACCGATCTGATATTTTTGGACTGATTTCCTGTGGAAAGGAGCCATGGTTTGATTTGGTGGCTGCTCTGTTATTCTGTCCCGTCCCATTAAGAGGCAGCGAGGGTCTCCTTTAATGTGCTTGTGGGTCACAGTCAGTGCCGTTCCGAGGAGCATTGTGCACGAGAGAGTAAGTTTTCACATGCATGTTTGCAACAGAGTGTGTATGACAGTGTAATATGGGTGTAAATTGGTAGCTTCATTCTCCAAGAGATCCGATCTGCACCACCTGTCAGAGGAGCTAATTATATACACTCTGTGGTGCAGGCTCCGGGTGTGTGAGTGTGTGGAGGGGTGAGGAGTGTGGGTCTGGGAACCAGATTAGTCTAGAAATAGTGTGTGTGTGTGTTTTTGGAGGAGGGGGGTATCTCAGGATTGATTTTCTGGGAACCCTCTGGACTTGTGCTCAAATCTCTCTCCCCCTCTCTCCTCTCCCTCTCGCTCTCTCTTTCAGGAGTCCAGCAGCCCTGACCCTCTGCCATCAGAGCTGCACTCGCCACCCTCACACCCATGTTCCTGCACTCCAACGTGGACCAGGATCAGCTCGCTGTCAAATGTTTCTCCGGATCATCTTATAGGGCTGCGGTATTGACACGCATTACACTCAACAAATCAGGCCTGTCACTGGTGTCGATGATACCCCACCATTTATATTTGGTCTGTGACATCACAACTGACGCAATTGGGGCCCTATCATGTTGAGACACTGAACACAAAATTGTGGCAGAAACAGAAATCTGTGCATCAAAACAAAAAAAAGGTGTAACACCGAAATGATGAATGAAAATGATCAATCTAAATTGCTCAGACGTACATGTTTACACGGTTATTTCCAGGGCTTTATATATTATATACGATCGTGCCTCTTCATATTATATGAGCTGCTGTTTTAATCTCCATTAGAATTTGCAGACCGGTGCATATTTCCTGGAGGATCATATGTATAACGCACTACAACTGACCGCAGACTTCCTTCAGAGCTTGATGGAGTTTTTTTTTTTTTTTTAATTTTCCATATTCCTGCGTTTCCTGTTTGAGGCAAAAAGACAGAGTGACGGTCGTTTATTTCCAAAGATTCTTAAGGGAGTGAGAGAAACAGACTGGAGAGCCTGATAATCAGACACTGGTTAGTCTGAGTGACCCGGCACTTCTATATGATGCGCTGCCATTACACAACCATGCACATCCGAATACTGGAGCCACCGTCCTGACAAGACAAATTAAAACCACAAATCACTCTTTGTTCCGCGAGGAGCGATGGGACGACAAGAGTTAAAGCTGAAGCACTTTACCAGTGAGAGGGACAGAAAAAAAGTGTTGAGGAGAAATTGACAGTAAAAGCTGCATCCACTCACCATGGCCCCATACTTCCTCATTTTCATAAAAAGACACAAGCAGGGAGAGAGAGAGATAAGAAAAAAAAGGAGGGACAGAGATAGAGAGAAAGAGAGGGGAGGGAAATGGGAGGAAACAGCCAAAGTGGACAGAACATCTTTATCCCACACCAAGTTAACAATTTTCCACTTGATTTAAGGAATGCTGGGATGTCTCTGGGGCCTATTAGAGAGCTCTCTGCAGGGCCAAAACCAGGAGGAGTCAGCACATTTACCACAAGACTGAGAGAAGTAGCAAAAGAAGTAAAAAGAGAAATGGGAGGAAGGGAGGGTGGGAGATGGAATAGACAGTAAAATAAAAAAGGGAGAGGGCATCGCAAGAATTTACATCTTGGCCATAAAGCCAACACTCCTCTAAAGTACCTCACAGTAGGTGGGGGGAGGAAAAAGGAGGAGGATAAAGGAGGCTCGGCTGATCAAATATAAAGATTAAAAAGGAGACGGTGGTGAAAAATGCTGGTTTGCAGAGTCAGAAAACTTTGGTTGTTGATTAGATTGATAATGGCGCTGTGTAGATTTAGACACAAGTGAGATGGGGAGTAAAAAAAAAATTGTTTTTTTCTTTTCATAAAAGTTGTTCCAGCCTCTCGCAGAGATGATCATGGCAGGGATATTTCTAAAGAGACCAGGACCTGACATTCAGTTTGGACTAAACAGACCAGAGACCGTGACTCACACCACTGCCCAAAATGACTTAATTAATGGGAAATAACCCATTTGAATTGGCTGCTTTCCCCCCTAAGGTTCCCAAGACACAGACCTTTGAGGCTCCTGCAAAACCATGTGATTATTTCCTGATTGGGAATTTTCCATCTGGATTTTAACATGGAATAGGAGTTTAAAATACACAGAAGCCAGCTACAAGTAAGCAAAACTAACTTCAAGTGAGTTTAAAAATAAATATAAAAAAATCAATAAAGAATCAGCAGATGCCCTGCCTGTGGAATTGAACGATGATGTTGTACATGTCAGGCGGGAATCCCACCACTGTTCCACATGTACCAGAACCACAACACAACCAAGGAAGAGGCACGTTTTTTTGTAAACTCCTCTATTTAGCAGAAGCTAACAAAATAATTTAAAAAAATAGAATTCCTGAATACTTTTTCCTAGGACAGTGAAAGCATCACTGGCATTAACTGCATTAACTTTGACTGACTTTGCATGGACTTCAGACAATTGTTTTTCATGCATCATATCCATAAACTAAGTTAATCATTATTTAAATTCTTAAATTATGTCATAGTTTTTTTTTAACTCTTATCATCCCATTATTTTATATGAATCAGTTTCCTAAATGTACACATTAATAAATTGTTCAGAGAACCTTTATCATAATGTAATATTGTGCTCCACATACTCCTCATTTTTTCTTTCAGTGAATGAGGAAAGGGTTAAAATCAGTGGAGTAAAAGAAAGACGCTGCAATAAAAAGGATTAATTCACTGATTCATTACACTAAACAGCCAATTAGATCGCTCTCTGTTACCAACTGGCACGGATCTAGTCCCAATATGCTGAATCGCCCGAAAGGCCATTAATAAAAGCCAATAAAAGTTAACTATAGCCAAGCTTTTACAAACTACAGACGACAATCAGCCCCCCCCCAAAAAAAAATAGAACCAGTGCTTAATGACAGTCGACTGTCGACTTAATGTGTCAGGTAGCGAGGGAGAGGACGAACCTGACGCCAGAGTAAAATTTGAATGATTAAAAACAACTTCACTTTGATGCTCAGTGGAACAGAAACAAGAGGGACAATTAGGAAAAGCACAGGCAGATCCTGTGAGGTGGAGGCTGAGTGTGAGACAAAGCCAGGATGAGGAAGGATGGAGGCGAGGAGCAGACTTAACCCCTGAGCTGCTGGAGTGTCTGCCTGCCTGCCTCGTAGTGCCATCCTCAGCACTTTTTCCATCTATAATTACTGCCTGCTATCCATCATAGAGCCGCCAGAGCCACACACCGCAGTGCCTCGCAAACACACACGCCGCCGCGCACATGCATGCATGCACCCAGACACAAACACGCACACACACGAGGGAAAAATCACAGAGCTAAGCACTTCGGCTAATAGAATAAATATTAATATCCCTTTTGTTTTCTATATCCTCATTTCCCCCGTGCTCCATTTAAATGAGGCCTGACAGTGTGAAAAAGCATCTGTTTCACACTCCGCGTTCAAAAGACATGCAGAGAGAGGAGACAAGGAGGGAAGAGGGGAAGTTACGAGAGGAGGGTGGGAAGGGGGGTGCGTTTGAGGTGGACAGTGTGTGTGTGTGTGTGTGTGTTTGGGACTTGAGTGTCTTCAGTCATCTGTTGGCGGTTCTCTCTGTTACCCATCAGGCCCTCAATGTGTCACTCAGACACTACAGTCATGCCATTATGGACCATCACCCCCTGCAGCTGTTCCTGCCCGTGTGTCACTGTGTACATGTGCGGCTGTATGTGTGTGTAGAAGGGATAGGGGGAGCATCGGCTATCGGACTACTTGTTTACTTAAGCCGCAGTTTAATGTGAGGGCGACTGTAAACATGTACATAATAATGCAAGTGTACGTTGAAGGAATGAACGCAAAGGTCAAAACACTGACACTGAATCAGGCGTCAATGTTTACGTTTGTAGGAAAACAAATGCGTGTTTAACATCAGAGTAGAAGTAGAAGTTAAAGAATATGTTTTAGATGATATGAAACAGTCACAACGTCATATATAAAATACTTCTCTGAGCCACAGACATGATATCAGACAAATTATTAAATACATAAATACTTATATATAGAAATATACTACTATAACTACATGATTACAAATTGTTAAAATACCTAATCATTTCCACAAATGGAACATTATTATTAACATTATTTTTTTACGTTACCAGACAGGGACTAAAGTTAAACAGTCTTTAAATTTTTTCATTGGTCACCAAACTGCACTGGTGGCCAATGGTCAAAGGAAAAGGTCAACAAACATCAGATGACAAGTGTTCACAACCCTCCTCTGACCTGGGTCAAGTAAAGTGAAACCTGACTTTATTTAGTGCCTTTGTCGCTCTTTCACACTTGTGCGACTTTAATGGTCTTAACAATCTCACCCCAGTTCAATATATACAGATACAATATTCTAAGTTGCTGTGGTGGTGTTTATGTTAAAAAAATCTGTCTTATAGAAAGTAAACATATATATATGTATATATGTATATATATACACATTATTCATAAAAATACATACATATAGATACATTTATACATAGAGTATATATATAAATACATAAGTTCATATATATAAATAAGAATGCATTCTGCATATACTGTATCAGCAGCTTGACTAAAGATAAAATGTTTGGCCTTCATTTATGAATTTACTACAGTATGTTGGACTATATTTTAAATGTTTTTAAAAAGGGAACCTTCGATTAAAGACATCTGTTCTAGAGCCTTTTGGCCATGATCTTGACGTTTATGATGTTTCACAGAAATAATCACCCCTCAATAAATATGGGCCTAAATATCCAGAGAGCTACACTGCAGTGTTGGTTAATGCCGATAGACAAAATATGTCATTGCTCTTCACTTCACATTTGTCAGCTAAAAACCCAATACTTCCAGTTCCTTTAAATTGATGTTTTTAAAACTTTAAAAACTCATAAAAAATCTGTACCTTTTCTCCCTGTGGACAGTAGCCTTTGACAAAATCCTCACACACTTCAGCTTTGCGGGAAACGTAGACGTGGCTGTATGGACACTCGCTGTTGTTACAGATTCCCTTCAGGAAGAAGGAACAAACCGGCATCTGGAATAAGTCAGACACAGACATCAACTGGAGATAATCTGTCATAAACAAACAACACCACAAATAAATCCTCACAGTCTGGATTTGATTCCTTATCTAGTCATCATTTAGGATTCTTCCACTATGAAGCACATTCAAAAACACTGAGCTGATGGTGCCCTGCTTTCAAGAACTGCACTTGTGAAATCCTTAAACATTTCCAAGAAATATTTCATTTTAATATCTAATTGCTGATAGATTGTAAAGTTGTATTAAGGCAGAACAGCATGTTGTCCCTATATTGGTCCTAACAAATGTTTGTGGACAACCATATCTGTGTGATAAAACATGGCAGACGTGACGAGATCAACAGATTAGGAGAGATTACGGGGGTCTGTAAACAAAGTTGCCAATCTCAAACCACGCTGCCCTCACGCACGGTTCATACGTGTCCCCTGTGCAGAGCTATCTGTCACACTGAGCAGCTAAATGACCGTAATTGCAGTTGACAGCAGCAGAGTGAGAGTGAATGTGTGTCTTGAAAGCAAGTGTTTCAAAAAGTCTGCAAGTGTGTGTGTGTTTGTGTGTGTGTGTGGGCGCGAGAAAATATACTGTTAAGTCTCTGGGGGCAAGTCTGGTGGAGGCTGGTCTAAATATACCTCTGAGATGGGGGTAAAAGGCAGTGGTGGTGGGGAGTCAAGAGGGAGCGTGGAGAGTGAGACAGTCTCCACCTCAATAGGGTGGGATCACTTCAAACTAATTAACTGCTACAGAAATATTTATCCAGACTGCGACTTGTCCAACTCTTATGACGTGTTTATGTGGTCTGAAAGTGTGCACCAGACACTGTCAGGCCAGGGTGGGGGACTGGGGACTGAGGTCTCGGGAGTGGGAGTGGGAGGGGATGAAATGGTGGAGGTGGAGGAGTGGAGGGGGTGTCAGTAGTGTCTAGTTTCGGGGTATTTGTGGTAGTTGGGGAAGGTTGGGTGTGGTGCAGTCAGGCATCGGGTTTTGGGCTTGCCTTTACGCACAAGCGTCCAGATCAGGTTTGGAGATCTGCACTCACTCTCCCTCACCCCCCTGCACCTCAGTCCTGTTCAAGGAGTCCAATGAAATCAGAGCGGTCCAACAATTTTGGGGTAGTTGTGGTGGTGGAGTTAGGGGTGGTTGTTGGAGAGGTGGCATTACAAACAGACAGCTGGGCTCTCAGCACTTACAGACTGCACTGTGACGACCAACACAGGTGCAGAGCATTGTGTGTGTGTGTGTGTGTGTGTGTGTGAGACAGAGAGGGTGAGTCCAGGCACCTGTTCCAGGGTTGTTTATCTCTGTTAAAAAAGGGAAAAGACAGCTTTCCCTTTTTGGCTACTGTTCCTCACAGAGAACACACAGACTCTGGTCTTCAGCTGTGGCTGCAGCTAAAATGTGGACCAAGTTCCCAGGTGGTAAATCAGGATAATTACCTTAAAATAACAAATTAATATTTATGTAACTGAGGAATTATTTCCAGAAATAAGTAAAGGAGGAAAAGTGAAAGTCTATATCATAAAATGGATATAGTAAAGGATATAGTAAGAGTTTTCGTTTTTCTTTTAATGCTTTTAGTTGTGCCCTTCCTAATTACCAAATTTATGATACATTGGTAGCACAGTTGCACTCACTTTTAGCCCAGTAGGTGGTGGCAATGAATAGAAAAAAGTTCTAAAGTTTGTTTGCCAGCCACCAAGAAAATGCACATCCATCCTCATTGAGTTTTCTTATCATTGCAATCATCAGGTCTTTGGTATTAACTAAATGCATGTTGGTGTAGAGCACAGACACCAAAGCTCATGTCAACAGTGAAGAAAACTGGTGTAGCCAGGCCACTATAGACCAGATGATGAGGTTCAGAGCCAAAAAAAAAAAAAAAAACATTTCTGACTATTGAATACAAAAGCTGTGATTGTACTGTGTGTTGGTAGTAATCTATAATTGTAGTATACAGATGGAAAATACACTAACAAAATATATTTTGTATAACTGTCCAAAGCTGTGTTAAAGCACACTGAGATCATTTAGCCTTAATTTGAGCAAGTTGGACAAAAGTGATGTTCAATTCTTCTTTTGGAAATGCACTATATCTGAACTACATTGCCCATAATGCAAAGCAGTGTAGGTCTAAGAGTTTCAGAGGATCTAAAGTGTGATTGAAAAGAGGACTAAGACTTTAATGAAGTTAAAGTGAACCAGAAAAAAGTACCAGATCCTCTTAGGCTGTGACCCAAATTCTAAGAAAAGGACCGTTTTCTCTCCTTCAGTCCACTTCTCAGGTCCGAGTCTGGTTCTTGATAGCGTTTGCATTTATCTAAAATCACCCAAAGGGGGCTGCTCAAAAGTAGGCGAGGCTATTTTCTCATCACAAGTTCGAGGTGATCCTGATGTATTCCACTGTAAGTGCAATGCAGGAGACAAGGTACAGACACACACACCTGTGCGGAACTCAGTTATTTAGAGTGAGGAGGGGTCATCAATCAAACCCTCCTGTTTGGACCATACATCAAACAGGTGAACCTGTCTGCTGCTTGTTTACCTGTAAACCTCAGAGAAAACCCAACCAGGTCAGTGTTTTTCTCACACCCTCCAGTGTTGTGGAAACAGGACATGAGCCAAGCCCACAAACAGGAAACATGATGTTTGTACCCAACACTTTGTCATCTTATATCCCGACACTATGCTCAAACCCCCAACCCTGGCAGTGACAACTGGGTCGGTTACCTTCTCCTTTGCCACCTTGTGAGAGAACGGACAAGTACCGTCAGCTTTCTTGCACGTTCCTCGCAGGAACCTGCAAATGAGCAGTAGGAAAGAAGTTTATTCTAAGGAATGATATTCTATTATTTGAAATGAAATTAATTACTGAAAACTATACTGAAAAACACAGAAATCTCCAGGATTGGTTTTCTATTTCCTTTAAATTCAAGGCTTCTGTGATCTCCAAGTGCAACACCTTATAAATGAGAACTAAATCACAGTGTGAAAAACTGACCCAGAGACTGGAGGTGATTATTACAGCACAATATTACATCAGGTTCCCGTCGAGTATCTGTAGCTGTAGTTGTACATGTTACAGGATTTGATGGTCTGTAACTGGATGCGGGCGGTTACCTTCTCTTCTCGTGCAGAATATGTTTGTGTTCTTCTTCTTTCGACGTGTGCAATAAAAAAACTTGTATCTGTGTTTTGACCTGTTACCTGGTGCAGACGGCCACCTTGTCCGGGTCGTGTATGTAGGGGCATCTGTCGCCGCGGTTACACTTGCCGAAGCGGTTGTAGTACATGCAGAACTGCTTTTGCTGCTTCTTCTGGCGAGCGTGTCTGATTATGGCGAGGCTCCGCTGACCCGCACGGCTTCATTTAAGAAACAAAAAAAAAAACAAAACAGAAACCACAGGTATCCACAAATCAATACAACAACCTGTTGAAACCCAAGACTAAAAACCAGGCCAGGAGAAGAGTTTCACCTCTAACCCCAGCGAGGGGATTAGGGTTAGCTGTATCTGCTACATGCTAATTTTAATTTTAACATCACTCCAGGCTTTACAGCTCTGAGTTGACAGTGATGAAAGGACATAAATAGTGAGGCGGAGAAGGAGAGGGGAGCGGATCGAATGCAACAGTCTGGGCTGGATTTTATTTCCAGATGGTGCTGGTATATGAAGACAGATAAACACAAGGAGCTGGGTTCAGTTACTTTAGGTGTCCTGCTGTGTCATAAACTTTGGGCACATTTCAATTGACTCTAAGGTTGAACATGGTCAAAAAGAGTCCTTCTGTCTCACATAAAACTTGGTCAGTGGCATCAGCGTTGACAGCGGAACAGGAAGTCTCAGATTAAGGCTTTTGGCGTTTCAAACAGCCCATAATAAACCCTTGACCAAATCATGCAAGAATGGACCAGCTGAGCTGCCAGATCGGGCTTTTTTGGATGACGGACTGAAACTGAAACATCATGGTTTACCCTGAACAGAGGGGCGAGGGGTGCAAATACTGCACACCCATGTTTTAAACTCAACATGCCAAAGTGTTGTGGTAGAATAATATGAATATGGAATATGAAAACTTTAATGAATCAGATATTGATTAATTTCTTTAAACAGAGGAGATAAAAAGTGTGATAAAAGTTTGAATGCTGTACCTGGCCATATAACGAGTGCTGGAGGTCCGGTTCCAGGCAGTTGTCATGGACAAGGTGTTGGGACTAGAAGGATGTCCTGCAAAGAGAGAACAAACAGAAAATAATATATAAATCCTAGATAGAAAGCTGAGATTCTTTGGTCAAAATATGAAAATATATGGTTCATTAGAACTGAACCTTTGAATTTAATGAAAACTAGCAAATTCCATTTAAATATACAAATCAGTTTGTGCATATTCTAGTGGAAGGTCCCAGCTCCATGTATGTGGGGGCAGTATATTCATTTTTATTGGTACTGGTTGTGTGATACTACATAAATCTTCCTTAGACTGCATTCAAAATACTCTTCTAAGTTTTCACTTCAGATATGATTGAAGAGTTTGAGTGTGTGACTGTGCAGCTAAATGGCAGTAATAATCTAATATTGACCGGTTATTTATACCATTCTGGTTTGACACATGGGTTCCAAAGCCAAGCATGACGTCCAGCACTGACTGAGAACATCATAAACACCATGTACCCGTTGCACTCCAGAAACACTGGCAGTAGAGCACTACTGTGTGTGTGTGTGTGTGTGTGTGTGTGTGTGTGTGTGCATGGACGTGGCTACCGAAGGCCACAAAGGGACAGAGGCGGATGAGGAGGGGTTGGAGTTGAAGTCACAGATGACGGTTGATTTCCTTCCAACCTCTAATTCTGGAACACGTTTAGCTGTTCAGACTCTGTGGTGACTTAAGCGTGGCAGCATTACAGACCAGTGGCTGCAGACCAGGAGCAAATGTGAAACTCGACGGGGCAGGACATAAAACCACAGCTCCTGCTGAGGAACACCTGAGGCTCAGTTACAGAGGATGCAGTGTATGTGTGTATGTGTATGTGTGTGTGTGTGTGTGTGTGTGTGTCCATGTTACAATGCCGATCACGAGTTTCAGCGAGTGGAGCTCTTCAATTTTCCCCTGCAGGTGTAGCCGCTACAGAATGTGCACAAGTGAAGAGAAGTGTAAAAGGGGGTGGAGGCCGAGCTGGGCTTTAATCTGCACCGTCCACGTCTCCGGACCCTCCCCCTGGCTTCTCTGACAGATGACAAGTTTATTATTTCAGATGGCAAATCCAGCCAGCTCTACTAAGTCCATTAGAGAACATGTGGCCAGAGCAGCAGCCACAAACATGAATAAACACCCTTGTATCACCTCAGGGTGCACACACACATTAACTGCATGCTACATACAGTACGAGCCACGTCCTGAGCAGGCGGGCTGTGGAACTAAATTTTACCTGACTGACTACGAGAAACCATTAGGATTATTGCTACATGACCGACAGCACTTTATTAAAGCCTGGCCTGGATGTGATTTGGACCTGATCACAAATGACCAATTAGTTTCTTTTTTTTTTTAAAATTTCACAGCTGTTTTGTTTTGTCATGGGGATCAATACAAAAATTCAACGTATATATAAATAAATAAATCCTTAAATGCTGTGTGTTTTATATGACTTATATGACTTGTCCTGCATTGACTACAGCAGCTCTAGTATTAAGCAGTAAAACTCTTTTTCACTTTTCTCTGCTCAAACGTTTCAGATTTTTTTAAACTTCACGGTTGCTTTCTGTTCTGCTAAGTTAATTCCACAAAGAATAGAAATCTTTCTAATATTCTTTTCCTTTTTATGCTCTACCTCTGGGGTCAGCTTTTATATTTGTTGTAGGGCCAAATTATTTCTGGACCTCGTGGTCTGGACACTCAAATAAAATGAAATAAAAATCACATAGATTTCAAATATGGTAATATATGATGGGGAATACCAGTAGTGGGTTGGATCGGATGGTTTGACGGGCTGGATTGGGCCCACGGGTCGCCAGTTGATAATTACTGATAATTGTCATTTTTGTTTGCGGTGACTCTAGAGCTACACCTTCAGTCATTCATGTCAGAGCACGACTTCTGCAGCTTGTTCCCTTGACTGTACCTTTGCGGTTGATGGATATGTTGGCTGTCACGGTGCGGGACAGTTTGTTGGCCGACACCCGGTACAGCGAGCCCCTAATCCAGCACATGCTGCTTCCTCTCCAGCACTGGGTGGATGATGGGTGTCTGTGTTGTGTGGAGCGCAGGCGGCTCTGGAGGAAACTCCTGTAAGGAAAGGAAATCATAGATGAGCCACAGATTCACAGGGACATAATTAAGTCATAATTCCAGTTTATTACAACTTGGATTATTTAACTGTCCATTAAGCTCAGTTCACAAACTTCAATCAGGCTGGAATGACATTATCTCCTCATCTCTCTCTCCCTTTCTCCAAACCATCTACCCTCTGACTCTTCCTCTTCATCTCCCCTCCTCACTTTACGTTTCCCATCCTCTGCTCTGCTCTTCCCACCTGCTCCTTCCCTCTTTTCTCCCTCTCTCCCTCTCCCTCACCCATGTCACAGCACTCTGTTAAATTGCTCCTCTAATGGAAAGGACGGCAGTGTGGAAATGGAGAGAATTGAAAAGAGGAGAGGAGGAAATCAATGAGATAATAGGCAGGGCAGGGGGCCAGAGCGGCGCGGTTGGCCCCGACACTGGAGCGCTGAGACCACACATACACACTAACACACACATGGAATCTCAGCACACTTCTTGCAACAGTACGTACAGTACACACACAAACACGTACTGTGGTATTCACCACCCAGGTTAGACAGTGTATGTGTGAGGTGGTGGTATGTGCGAGGATGAAGTGTCTAGGATGTGTGTGTGTGTGTGGATGTGTGTGGATGCTGAATACTGGTGGTGCTGGTGGAGGAGGAGGAGCGGTGCAGAGGTTATGGCGATAAATTGCGCTGTCCTGTCACTTCTATTTGGGGTGGATTGGGGCTGGTGTGCAGGGCGCCACTGGAGGTAATTTGCTGCCGTATTTCAGATGGTCTGGAAATGGGTTTAGAGCGAGAGTTCATGCCTCCCATTACAGAGAAGAGAGCGGGTTACCCCAAACACGCTCCACGCACAAAACAACTGACACGGAAGCTTAACACGCCACAGCCCACGGCCAAGTGCCGCACTGCTGCAAATAAGGAGGGAAGACAAAGAAAAAAAGAGAAGGAGAAAATAACTGCCTTCAACTGTGCTCATGTGCTCGCTCCACTACCTGACTGTGTGCCATAACTCAGAGGCACAGACACTCAGTTCCACTGATCAGTAGCTGCCCTACACAGGGCAACTGCAGCCAGGGGAGCTGTAATGGAGGCTAATGTTGAAGCTCTGACTGCCACCAAGGGAGGATTCAACAAGGAGCGAGTGGCCTGAGGAGCCACAATGGAGGTTAATGGGGATATGACATGAACAGTTAACAGAGATGGCAGTTAACCCTGACACGGGCCTGCAGTCAGGGGGTGAACCAGGGTGCAAGACCCGCGTCTGTTAGGACATGTTCACATCAGGTTCTAACATTTAAGTGAGGATCTGTCCTATCTGAAACGTCTAATGAGTGTTCACCAGCAGCACCGCCGTGTGGAGATCACAGCTCAGTGACTGGGTCACATTGGAAACTGGAACGTTTTAAATTATCTCAGTCTTTTAAACTGATTGGCAGGTGAAGGATCTGAAGGTGCTGTGTGGATGAAGATGTTAAACGAGGTTGAAGAGAGTTGAGAGTGAAAAGGTTGGAAACCAGGACGATTGGTCTTTGGTGTTAAACAGTATCAGTAAAGTGTCAGACTTTCCAATTTTTGACAATCAATTTGAAGACTTCCATCTCTCCTTCTTCATCCTTCTCTTCTCTATCTTCTTTTTCTTGTTGCCTTCTTTCAGAGGTCACCACAATAAATCACCATCCTCCATCCCACTCTCCATTTTGCCTCTTTCGTTGTTGCACCATCCATCTCTATAAATCTTCTCTGTGTTTTTCCTGGTGGTCTTCTGCATGTCACCGCCATCTCCTCCATCAGCTTATGTCCAAAGTATCTCAACGTGACCACTCTAACTTCATCTCCAAACTGTTTAACTTCAACTGTCCCAATGAAGATCCGTGACCTGATCATAGTAAAAGAAACCTGTTTTCTTCCGGGGAAATAATCCTTTTATTTCCACAGAAGAAAACAGCATTTCAACTTTTGAGAGCATGACTCTAGAAAAACAAACATGCATTACTGAGGAAAAGGTAAAAGTCTGGTGCAGTAAAACTATGTTAAACCCAGGCTAACAATCTGACCATGTTCATTGTGTTAGCCTTTTAAAACAGATCCCAGACCAACTAATTCTGTTAGCCAGAATTAAACACTGATTAGTTACACTCTGAGCTGTCGTGAGTTTAAGGGCTTCATTAAACCACTTGGTGTTCAGAGCTCTCCTATTTTATTCCACATTTTGCTTGCATAAACACACTCTCCAATCACCAACTCGCCGTGTGTATGAGTTTTAGCCTCAGGTCTAACATCATTAGTCCAAACGGGCACTGTGGGAGCAGTTACCTACACAAAACGCTAATCTGCCTGTAATGACTGAGGAGGAGAGGAATGATGAACAGAAACAAACAGGATAGAGAAGGACTGGGTCTCTCTCTGCCTCCAGACTCTCCTTGGCCTGTACTCCAGGATGCCCTTGACCTCTGGAAGGATAGCTGTTATCAGAGCCACTGCAGACCAGGCCCATGCACAAATCCTCCCCTGCTGGACAGCTAAGTGGTTTCAGGGGTTGAGACCTTTCTTACACTGTCGACAAGCCCCTCGTGTCTACTTCCATAAAAATATCAAAATTCTAATACATATTTTTCTGCTGACAAAAAACAGTAATTTATAGTTAAATAAGAGAAACTGACGAACGACACGGGACAGTCCCCTGTTCTTCATGAACAGTAGTTATCATCCACTCCAAGATATACTGAAGGGACAGGAAACACTCACAAGTACTGAGTGTTACACAAAATCTTTCCTGTACATTTTTATTAAACAGTTTAATAAAACAGCTACAGCTGACCTACAGACAGTCCGTTCGTCTGAATAGTAACTAACAAATCTAGTCTTTGGATCATTGTAAATGCAAAGAACGCAAACAGAAGGAGCCATTTGTTCATACTCTGCATTTGTTTAAGACAACATTTTGGGAAAGCTTACTGTACTGAACCCCAACTCAGGAAATCTGTGCAGTAACAGTGTATATTGTGGGGTCAGTATTGCATATGTGCACAGAAACATTCACCTCGCAGGGTCACAGGGACGGAGAACTTGTCATGTGGTCCAGAGATGTACCCATATGTAAACATCTAATGTTGCTGCAGCCAGACAAAGTCTGTCATTCATGTCCTTTAGGGAGCAGTACTGCTGGTCCAACATGCACTGATCTTCACATGCAATCTTGGTGATGGGAAGTGTGCTGTTTGATTTAGCGCTGGGCAGTGCACTGAAGGGGGCGCAAGAATCTGCTGCAGTATTTTATCTACCACTCGTCACTGGAAAATGGATATAATCTCAACATTAACTCCATTAAAAGTAGCGGGAGTTGAATTAAGCAAGTCGTAAAGCATTCCCACCCCAGGATAAATCACAGTCGGGCCCCCATCTCCACTGTCTCACACACACACACACACACACACACTTCCTATTCGTCACACCTCTTATTCTTTAATTTAGCTACCGTTCCTCACTTGGATTCAGCTAATTTTTATATATACAAAGAAACAAGAGTTTTCTGTCACACTAATGTGAGATTTATTAATATTAGAATTTTCATCAACGTACCTAACTTCTTCAGCCCAGGTTTGTTACATTATTAATGTTAAACCTAAAACAAAAACTGTACCTGAACCCAAATACACATATATATTTGAAATTAAAGGGTACACATCTCCACACACACACACACACACAGATGCACACTCTGTCCAGGCGCTCATCTCCTTTAGTGCTTCAGTATTGATCAGTACAGGATGTAAGAGACTGGGCAATAAAGTGAAGCAGGGCTCCCTCTCCCTTCTTCCCTCTCTCCACCTTTTCCCGCATTCACTGCTCCATTCATCCCTCTTTTACACCCATTTCATTCAGCTCCTCATTCCTTATAACATTAGTCATCAGCCCATCTCCGATACCCCACATGTCACCAGCAAGCACAGGCGCCGCTCAAAGCATGTGTTGCACCGTCGCCGTCACGTTACCATTTAAAGATCGTTGTCGCCTCTAAGTATGATTTGATACGACGGTAATGCATCACGACACTGCTTTGGTTTCCTTTAAGCAGCAGCAGAGCAGCAGGAGTTCTCTTGGCTGGAATTAGCCGGTTTGACTGTTTTTGCTGTGCTCTGTTTCAAGGGTAACTGTTTCCCAATATGATCCGACTAATGCTTGGGTTGCAGACAAACAGACAAGGGCAGCATTATTCGGAGCAGTCGCGTGACCCTCCAAATTCTTCCCTGTCACTAAAACAAAAGTCGGATCATTCATCAACAGCAGCGGTAGTGCTGAATCGTGCTCTCCTTTATCTGTGCATCGCATGGTCCGAGCAGTGCGCACACACACACACACACACCTGCACTTACACACTTATACACAGCACATATGGATGAGACTAATCCCAGCGGAGTTTCTTGGTGCCCTTGTCCCATCCTCGACTTTCTTCCTTTTCCCTTTTTTTTATTTTTGCCTTTCTTTTTCGTGCACTTTTCTGTTCTTTCACTGTGACCTCTCATCGTTGTTTGTCTGTTGTGATAACACACCTCTGGGTACACAAAGGTGTGTTCCAGGGTTAAAACAAAAAGTGTTGCTTGTACAATTTACACATAATTACGTCTTACTTGATAATTATCATTTAATGTAGTGAATTTGGACATTAATAAAGAAGTGGAGTTATGAAATGGAGCTTCAATTTTTCTACAACAAAATAAAAGTTAGATTTTTTTCTTACAGTATCTGAGAGTTTTTTACTGTAACACAGAAGAAAAGAAATCTCAATGGGAGCCTCGGCCATTAATGTTGTCTTGTAAATTATGTTAATCGTTCTTGTGAATTATGGTTTTGCTTTTATTTGGCCTTTTCTTGTAAAAAGCTCTGTCACGCTGACAAATCAAATTTTACTACGACTGCAACACGTGGTAGTAACTCTACTTTTATCGTCTTGCAAGTGCAAACAGCTGAAATATATGAATGAAATAAAAATTTAAATCTTTGAAGACTCCACAGAAACATGTCAGCTGAACATGTTCTATATGACTTCACCTTAAGAAATGCGACACAAATAAACATCTTCAATGTTTCTTGAAGCCTTTGGTCTCGTTCATAAGTTTAGACAGACACACAGTTAGCAAGCAAATGTATGGGTGGGATACGTTTGGGCTGTGTTTTCAACTTGTTTATAGGCCCAGAATATCACTACAAACACTATACAACGCCAACCCAGCCCAGTCCAGTCTTAATGAGCTACACTCATTAAGACTGGGCTCAGTCCAGATGGGCCATTAATGACAGTACCTGTTGACCTTGAAAAGAAATGTTTTGCATTCCAAATAGCTGGTTAAACCTTTTTTTACAAACTGTGTGTGTTTATGTGTGTATAAAAAATGTTTTTTAAACCTTGGGTTTACAAACTGTGTGTGTTTATGTGTGTGTGCAATAAAATAAAAAATGTTTTTTAAACCTTGGAAAAAAAAAGAAATATCAAATGTGAAAATCCTAGAGGTTTCCCAAAGACGACCAAATAGGACACAAAGATCTCTCGAGTCTACAGCAGGAAAATGGACATGTTGTCTTTTAGATGCATGGCCTGGGGACCAGAGTCCACCGTGAGCAGATACAGAGACAGAGCTGAGAACACGAGGACAGGGATGACTGGGTCTGATAGAAAGAAGATGAAGAGCAGCACTCAGTAGTTAAGAGCAGAGAATATGAGCTCATGCTCCACTCAATAGCTCCAAACTGATAAAAGTAGAGGGTCATTGGACTTAAACAGATAGATAAGTATGAGAAAGGAGCAGGGGGTGGTGGGGCTGATGGTGATCCACGGTCCCCGGGGACCCGACCTGTCCCTCTCCCTCCCTATCTCTTTCCTCTCTTCTACACACTCGGTGATATTTCACGAGATGTCACGGGGCTCAAATTGAAAATCCCTTGATGAATCAATATTTACTGCAGCAGCTAAATGAATAGTAATAAGTCACCAGAGGCTGCGTCCAGCCACAGTCCAGAGCCCTATGTCTCACCAAATCTGGATTACACAAATGAACCGTCCTCACACAATCACCAACAAACAACGGCACAGACACACAAACGCACAGCTTTAATTATTAATACAAACAAATAACTTTGAAGGATGATTGCGTCCAAATTAAAGCAATGACATATTTTATCCGTGGTGGCCATTTAGACAGTTGGAACTACTTGCATTGAAATAAAGTAAGAGCGGCTATATGAGCGGTGTTTACAGTGCGGGTGGTGGATGATGCTCATCACCGTCGTTAAGACCAAGCTGAAAACATTACCGTAAAACAATATGTTCAAAATAGGTGTTTTTAGCGGTTTAGCACTCTTGCCCACAGCGTGTGCAAATGACAACATGTGTATCAACTGGGTATTAAGTGGATCATGGAACTACTGGATACATTCAATTATGTTCATAGTTTTATGATTCATTTCACAACTTAATTCTCGTGATCAAGGCCTTCCTTATGACGGCCCTAAAAAAGATTTTAAAAAAGAGAAACCTGTTTTTAATTTAATGCAATCAATACATTTTCAAAGAATGTATTAAATAAAAATGAAATGATAATTATGTAAATTAGTGTGACTATAAAACAGCGAAATACATAAATTGACATTTTTATGAATTGTGAAGTTTAATATTCAATGTTTCACATCACCTTTTTTCTAATTGGCAGTGTTTAAAAAAAGCTACTTTAGATTCATCCCATTTACATCTGACTGCAGTTTCGTGACTGCAGTTTCGTGTGTGTGTGTGTGTGTGTGTGTGTGTGTGTGTGTGTGTGTGTGAGAGAGAGAGTGAAGTCACACCGTTTTTAGCATTCCGTTAATTCTCTGCACATTAACAGGTCATGAAAAGCAGCCACAACAACGCCGTCACACATCCCGTCACCAAAGTTCAAACAAATATGTGGATAACCATGGTAACAGAGTGAGACTGGTTCACGTGTGGACGTGCAGTGTTTGTTTTCAGGAGTTTAATTTAAAAACAAAAAGAAAATACATAGTGTATTTCTGAAACGCTAGTTAAAACAAGTGTTGATTTGATGATAGAGAAGGACCAAAAACAGCGAGTACAAAAACTAAAGGTTGAAACCATTTATCATGTAAAAATGCTGAGTTTGCTCTGGTTTCAGGTTATTAAAAATGAGGCGTCGGGATTCCTCTACATTTTTTCTTCATCACCAGAAACATGAAAAATCAACTTTTTAGTATTAGACAAAACAAGCTGTCAGAGCCTAACTGACAACAAACACCTTTTATATGTAATTTGTCTCGATTCAATCTCATTTAAGAGAATTATGGTTTACACTGGAGTCAGAATGGTGAGCAGAAAGACGGGTTAATTCTAAGGTAATTAAGGTAAAAAAGGCGACAGGAGCTGTAATGACAGTGAAGAACAGACCTCCTCCCACCTCGCACTCTTACTTTGCCTGTATCTTTGCTGGGTATGACACTTTCTCTGCTGCTGTAAATTAATGTGAGGAGCACATTGGTGTAAATGGTTTATTCTCTGGGTTATCTACTCTGTAAAAATGAGCACCATAAATTCCCAACCTCCCCCAGCCCCTCATACTACACGAGTGTGACATAAAAAGACGAGACGAGGCTTTGCACTGAGGGATGTTAACCTGGGTGAAAAAAAAAAAAAAACCTGCACCAGTGGAGAACGAGAAAGAATTAGTCTCAGATGTTTACCTGGCTGATTGGATCCGTTTGGCTCTCCAGGAGAGGGTGGGGTTATAATGGAGGTGGTGTGTGGCGCTGGAGCCCGGTCGGGTCACCATCTTGTAGCGTGTCCTGAACACCTGCTGGCCGGCAGGGACACGGTGGTAGGAGTAGGTAGAACCTGAGGAAAGTCAAGTGAGAGATCAGTGAGATAAGCCAAAAAAAAAAAAAAAAAATTAAGAATCTAATTCCAGAAATTAGATGAGCAACAGCTAAACATCAAGTCATTTTGGTCACATGCAAACATCAGCCTAACGACAAGTATACACACACATGCAGATACACACAGACACACACACACGTCTACGTGAAGACTCTGGCAGGTGTGCTCTTTAATAAGCTTCACATATAAAAATGAGAGGGAATAACAAAGGCAGAATTTTTATGAGCCTAATAAATCATATCCTCTGTCTCTTTGCTCACTGCCTTCATCCCTCCTGCCCGACTCCCATTCGTTATATTATTTTACAGATCCATCAGAGGAGCGTAACAGTACAGAGATCCAAATGGGAGGGAAAAAAAGAGGACCAAGTGTTTTTATTTATTTATTTATTTGACTGTGTATCCATCATGTTGTTTTATGATGGCCCGTGCTGCCTGACATCCTCACACTAAGAAGAGAATTTGCATTGTGGATCATCTAAGTCTCCGGTTCGCCAAGATTAAAGACCGTAGACAACAGAAGCCATGGGGCTGAGGTCTGACACAGAGGGTCACCAGTCTCCTGGTGTAATGCAGACCTGGTGTGGGTTTCAGCAGGTTTGAAGGCATTTTCTGTAATTTATCTACAGTAAACATCTATTATTCAGATTTGTGGTATCATGAGCAGTTGGATCACCCTTGATGCACTTTTACATCTTTCATGTAACAACAACCAAGGGTTTGTTAATAATCCATGTTAGGAGAAACTAATAATCATCAAGTTTGAAATGTTTTCTCAGTGTGTTCCTCTGAAAATTGATAATCTGTTAAAGCAACCAAATCCCCGATAACTTTATATAATTAAAGGGCAAAGCCAATCATTAGCGAGGGTGAGGCTAGTTAGCATTTTTCTGAAATTTGACTAAATTTCTTTGTTACTGTAGGTAACAGTTTAAAACTGGTCACAGTGGAAACACAAACTACTTTGACTACATCTTCCTACCACCAGTCCAGCTCTGCCCACAGTGGTAACTACCGTCACAACAACAGCCAATTATCCAGACTTAGTCTGTATAAACAAAGAAGGTTTTGATTGAAAATGACAAAATATCATTAGCATGGTAACAGATCTTTTAAAAAACAATTTGTAGAGAAAAATAATTTCATGAATTAATTTTTCTTCAGGCTGCGTGACATTACATAAAA